GGGAAAGAAATCTAGCTACATACTTCCTCTCATATTGCATCTCAACACACATCATGAAGACGATTATTATATTACATTCATCACATCCCATTGTATGGGTGGATTGAGCTTTGTTAGCTTTTCAGCCTTGCAGTTTATTGATTTAGTTTTTAGACTCATTTTCACATGAATAATAATGCATATGCCTCAGTATATAAACATATAATTAACATTTTTCTTATAGAGTATTGGGTTACTTCTATTTATTTATTTTTATTTTCTAAAATTCTAATCAATTTAAGATGTTACTTTTGGTATTGGAGTAGTTGCACTCATTGTATCTTTGACGAGCAAAAAGGAAAGTAACCAATGAGATGCAGATTGTGATCAAAATCTTTTGTTTTTTTTTTTTTTACTTTGTCATTTCGATTTCTTAAAGTTTTTAAAGCAGAAAATAGAATAAATTTTGCATACTCAATATAATAAACATATTAACTGACATAAAAGAAATAGACATGTTAACTACAAAACATTAAACTACCCTCGGAGAGATTGATAATGTTTAAAAAAAAAATTAGGATGAGGCCCGTTGAAGAGTAGACAAACCGACATTCATAATTGGGCTTCCTTGATACTTGTTAATTTTGTGAGCCCAAGATTATTTGTGGACAATTCTGAGCTTCATCAGGAACACGTTATGTTTGTGCATTTTTAACAACAATTCCTATCCTCAGGCTTCAGCAATCCTTTGCCTTGTTCTTTTGTTTGTTTGGCTGATGATATGAATTGAATAATGCCGTTAACAGAATGAATCCCCGACGATCCTATTGATATAGCGATACTCACTAAGGAAGGGACACTGCTGCGCTGATAATAGTCATAGATAGTGTAAACTATTGAGCACGTGGATCTAATAGTGAAATTGTCATGGCTTGATTTGTAGTCTCGAGTTTAAATTTAAGATTTTGACTATGCAACTGTGGATAGAGAGTTTCGCCATATAGCAAATCAGTGATGTTATCCAGCGAGCAGAATTACCTTCATGTCTCCGTGAATTATGTGTATATATCATATATATACTATGATCATAAGATCATTTATTCTGTTATATCTAGATATCGACGTTTATACCTGATTTTCTTAATCAGAAGCGAAATACATTAATTCAGAAAGAAATTTGTATTTTCCCCCATCAAAACTAAAAATTTGCTTTATTTAACAGCAGAGATCGAAGGAGTCAACGTTGAATACTGCTAGCTTATGCCATAATATTGGTTCACTGACTTGTCGTTGATCTATTGTACATAAAAGGAACTTCAATGGTCGTCATCATAATAAAGCCACTAAACAATGCCACTTTTCTTTCATTGACCTGGCTACAACAAACTGTGAAAGTACCATTCTATGGGTTCTAACATAAGCTGTACAACAACAAAATTCACAGCCTACGAACGTGGCTAATACTTTTACTGGTAATTTGTTTTCCTCATTCTTCATTTCATAGAATACAAGACCTACTAGAAGGACGCAGCTATATATTGTATCATTTTCATAGGAAGTAAGATAATTGCTCTTTCTTCCTTGAACCCCCTTCCCCATACAACTCATTCCACTGCTTTAACTCACTCATTCCTGCCCCTTCAGCTGCGTAGCTTGCTGAAACCTGCACTCCAAGAAGATGGTCAAATGAAGCAAAGAAATTCAAAGTATATGATATAAAGGTAAATGTGAATCCTACTTGATTTCTATAATCAAATATTCCTTCACTAGTCTTACCTGATTCTTTGCCTCTATGAAGTCCCGCATGTTCAAAGGTCTAAGGGTAATAACTCTCTCCTGTTGAGCTTCCTCTTCTGCATCTTGGACATTGCTATTCTGTCCTTCACCACCTTTCTGCTTTTTCTCCTGCCGGAAACAAACACACAAATTGCAAGAAATCATATAACCAAACCACTATTTTAGACATTTTAAAATTTTCAAAGTTACCAGAGTTCTTAGTCTCTCTTGCTGAATCAACTCTCTAACAGGCCTGTAAGCAGCAGTTGTGCACAAGTTCTGCATTTAACAATCAGTGACAGTGAAAAATGCGTTAGGCATCAGAACCTCAAAATAGTAAAAGCATTTGTAGGTTAAGAAAATTGTATAATAAACCTTGAGATCACTTCCGCTATATCCTTCTGTTATAGTTGCCACTTCCTTAAAATCAAGTTTCTCGTCCACCTTCTCTTTTGCCAAAACAGTCCTCAAAATCTTTTCCCTGTTCTCCGCACTCGGCATCCCTACCATAATTCTGTTAACAAAAGACAAGCATGATAGTAAGTACTCATTATCAAACATTCTGAATTTCAGGGTCATCAGATTGCCACACACATGTAGCAAAGTAGAAATATTGCGGCAAGAACAAGGAGTAGAGTAGAGATATATACCTCCTTTCAAACCTCCTAATTATAGCCTCATCAAGATCAAAGGGCCTGTTGGTTGCGGCAAGAACAAGGATGCGCTCTCCAGGACTAGTCATAAGTCCATCCCAATGAGTCATAAACTCATTCTTTATTTTGCGCATGGCTTCGTGCTCTCCAACTCTGGTTCTCTGGCCCAGCATACTATCAACCTCGTCAACAAATATAATAGTTGGGGCGACCTTGGCTGCAAGTGTGAATAAAGCACGAACATTCTTCTCATCTTCACCAAACCATTTAGAGGTGACTGTAGACATGGATACATTAATGAAACTTGCTCCAGCTTCATTTGCAATGGCCTTTGCTAGCATTGTCTTTCCTGTGCCAGGAGGTCCAAATAGCAATATTCCCTTACAAGGCTTTAGAAGGCCCCCACAGAAAAGATCTGGCCTTCGAAGAGGAAGCATAACTAGTTCTTGAAGTGATTCTTTGGTCTCATCTAAGGCCCCCACATCCGAGAATTTAACACCAATCTCGTTTGCTGGTATTACCTCAGGCCTTATTCGCTTCTCAAACTCGTTATCTGGGGGAACTTCCTGCATGTGAATATTTGACAGTAAATGTCTGAAAGTGTATAATTTATGGAAACAATAAAAAGGGTGAGGCAATGCAACAGAAAAGAAAAGGGAATTAATGAGATGTGTATGCAGCTTAACTGCAATAACTATCTAGAGGGAGAGTTTGCTAATTTGCTTTGTTCGTAAACCATTTGCAGGCATGACTTTAATACTATTATAAAAATGTTTTAATTAAAAACAAGGAAGGAGGCTTACAACTTTGGGTGCAGGAACTGCATTTTCGCTGTCAGTTTTTGTCACTGAATTTGATGCATCGGCTTCGACCTTTACATCGGGAGCAGGATTCTCTGACTTCGCTTCTGGTTTCACAACAGCTGCTTCTTCTCTCGGCTTTATGCAGACGAGATCATAGAGAAAAAAAAAAAAAAAACACATCATATTAGTACCTGGTAGGTATTATTCACAACTTAATGCAGTCATGTCATGCAGAGCAAACCTCAGATGTTGTTACTGATTGGGCTTCTAATTTTAATGTATCTCTTTCAACGGATTTCCCCTCCTGGAATATAGTCAATGCATGGGACAAACTGTTTCACAAACAAGAAGTAAGTACATTAAATTTAGATGGTTCATGTAATTAAAGTTGCCAGTCTTACCTATTACATGGAATAACCAATTTGCCATTTCTGTATTCAGGATCTTTGCTAGTCATTAAATGATTAGAAATTGCTGACACAATAATCTCTTCTATATTGTTACTGAGAACCATTGTATCGGACACACAGATAGAATCCAGGTCATCACAATCAAGATCATTGGCAGCAAGAACTTCCATGATATGGTTCCTGTTATCCTGAATCTGTATCATCTTCATCTCCTCTTCAAATTGAGCCTTCCAGCTAACAAGATAAGATTCATCTTCTGGGGGGCGGATTTCTATGTTGTAGGGGAAGAGGGAATTGAGTCTATCATCCAGTTCTCTGTAGTCACTACCAGAATCCAGAACTCGTGAACCAAGAATCAAAATTGGTCCAGATAATTTATTCAGCATTGTCTGGAATAGTTTATATATCCTTTGTGATCTATCCAACAACTTGTCAGCATCCCGCAAATATAGAATAATGGGGTAGGTTTTTGAAACATAAAGTAGAACCTGCAAGTGAAATTTCCTCTTATCAAATCAATGTTTTTTGAGGATGTAAATTATTAAATTCAAGAAGACATGTTAATTTTAAACCTGAGAGCTCTATATATATACTACTAATTTTTTTATTTTTTTTCTATCTCCAGAGCTCTCCATCACATCGCTCATCTTATTCCACACTTTCTCTCTCCACTCTTCACTTCCTATCTCTCCTGATTGTAGAAAAAGTTGAAGAAAACAAGAGTAATGTATTTAGTTTATCAAAAAAAAAATCACCTTGTAAATAGTTTGTATGAGAAGCTTTTCATCAAAAGGCCAGCTGGTCATGTGCTTCTGAGGAGCTGAAGGTATTTTACAATGATAGAAGGAATAAGGTGAGAACATGAGCAAATGAGAATGCACCAGTTTGATTCATAACTGATATGAATATGACTTAACTGTACATTGTGCTAGGGCTCAGTTTGAATAAACTTCTCGACAAGTATTTGAAGAGAAAAATAAAATGACTCAAAAAGGTAAAATGAGTCAAACTTCTCTTAAGCTAAAATAAACTTATCTATCTTAACATTTTTAGAAGCCCGCTCGTTTAATTTTTCCATATGTTGAAATGCATCGGTTGATGTTAACTAATGGAAGAAATTTAATTCATTTTATCTTAATTCATCTCATTTTCTTCTCCTTTTTAAGTGCTTGTTGATAGCTTTGTTCAAACTGGCTCTACTTTTCACTCTAAAAGATTACGAATCTGACTTATGTACTGAATCAATCCTATAAGCAAATAAAGTGTAACACCACATTACAAAGCATCACTTTGATGTTTTGTGTAAAAGTACTAAAAAATATGGGTTAGGTTTTGAAGCGTATTCAAGAAAACATGATGACATTGTAACCTTTTTTTTCTCAAATCATTCCTGAATCAGGTTCTCTGTTCAAAACTAAATCTCCAGCAAATGGTAACAGGTAATCAAGGAAAACCAATAGTTCTAACTGATTTTTTAAATGTTTAATTGAAGCTACCTGAATTTGTGGGATTGCATTGCAAAGTCAGGTTACTGATATTTGCAGAGGCAGACGCATTCCTCCGAAGCTTAGGAGGATTAGAAGATCCTTCAGCCTCCCTGCAAAAGAGAACGTATAAATTCAGATTTAGGATAAGGAAACTAACATGGAAATTATATATCTTCCCATAGTCAATTGATAAACATCATTTATTCTTACATTGACCGGATGTCCACTCCACTACTTTGTCTGTAGATTTTCCCTGCAAATAAAAGCTCCTGTTTAGGGATATGGATTATGAGTTGTTTAACAAATGTGCATCAGATGGAATGCTAGTAGTACCCCCGCCTAACATCTAGACCCTGAATTTTCATCAAGTAGAAACAATAAAGTATCAACATTTACTTTTCTCCTGATAAAACGTAAAAAACTTATTCTTGAAACCAGAACAATGCTGAAAAATAATGTATCAGTGATTAATAAAGCAGTTGGCTATTATGAAGCAAGTTCTCCACCCTATATCAGAAAATTTTCATTGATTTGTACCTTTAGGCTCTTCCCTCTGTGGAAAGAGTGATAAAGACC